TTGGAGCCCGCTGCAGCAAGTCATTGCCTTTATTTTGCAGACGCATTCCTTAGGCCAGCTTGCTCCAGCGTGCACGATGTCTAATGAGGAGGCCCTTTCTGCACATGAACTTTACTGCCCATTTTGCCAGTTTCAGGCATCGAGTTTGTCAGTGTTGCGCCGACATCTCACTTGTGCACATCAGGTCACCATGTTTCGTAAACATGTCCCCCAGCCTTCTCACTACATGACACACGGTTTGCCACAGTGTGTTTTGTGCGGTCTGAGTTTCACAACATGGAGAAGCTTTCACATACATGTCCAGCGTGGGTGCCAGGTGGACCAGATGGACCATAGAATGGATCGACCTCTTGCTCCCTTTGCTGAGCCTGCCCAGCCTGTGACTCACCAAACACCAGAAACGGTAACACTGCTGTCCCAGACTGACCTTGACAGCATCATGCAGAGGGAATTTGGCCCACGATTGCTGACCTTGCTGCATCAGCGACGATGGTCTGAACTCTTGCATGACCGTGCCAGTTGCCAGTTTCTCTCTCGCAACTGCCTGATCTGTGGGCAATATGTTGGCCGGGCACAGGCAATGCATCACCATGTTCGTGTGGCCCACCACGCCTATGATGCCCTGGTGCTTGCAAAAGCCACCCAGCTGACCAACTTACACAGTGATGAATCACCATGCTCGGCCTGCGGTGTGACTTTTGTCTCCACCCACCTGTGCAATGTCTGGTTTCAGATTGCTGCGTTGATTGTGCATGGACCTCGCCAGACAGCCTCTTTTGCCGATGCACCTGCCCATTTGCAATGTGAAATATGTGGTTTTTCATGTGAGACGGCTCAGATGTTGCATGCTCATTTGCAAAATGAACACAAGCTAGTGAGCTCGGTTTGGCATGAAAGTCGCGACAGTTTCCAAGGGGATCCAGTATGCAATCACTGCCACATGATGTTTCGTACGATGGAAGGGCTCCGGTCCCACATCAACCAGGGTCGCTGCACCAACTTTAATCCAGACCTTTCGACAGCGCCATCAGATGTTTTGGATGTTTGGAAAGATGCGACCTGCAGGGGTGCCATCGAAGAAGTCCTCTCGACAGCTCACAACAAGCTCCGTTTGACGCTCCGCTGCCAATGCTGTCCCAAGAGGTACACGAGATCGGCTGACCTTTCAGCTCATCTACAAGGATCTCACCCTGAGATCTGGAGAATGGCACAACCAGTGGCCTTCCTGTTGGTCCAGCGCTACTATGGCAGTTTGGGCTGCGTTTGCAACCCGTCGTGTGCGGTCCAGCGGCTACAACATGTTTGCTTGCCTTTTTTGCAGCTGGCTATGCAGTTTGTTCGCCTTCCCATGGCTGTTCTGATGCCGGCCAAACAGACCACCACGGAATTGGCCCGTTTTCTGCCTGCACATGTCCCGATGGATTTGAGGCATAACCTTGAACGAGCCTTCCTGCAGTATGACTTGACCTGCCTGTGGACTGATGCCCTGCTGATGGACTCCATGTCCGGCAACTGCTATCTGTGTGGATTGGAACTGCTGCCTGCAGAGCTTGCGTACCACATGCATGAGGCACACCATGGCCTGCACCCTGTGGTCAAATCATATGTTGCACAACTGCTTCCGCATGCACTGAGCCACAGCGATAATGATTGTGCCTGTTTTGCTTGCGGCCAGATTCTCAACACCCCAACTGCTTGCACTGATGCCAATACTGTTGATTCCAGACAAAAGTTGGTTCAAGCACACTTGCGTGCTCAGTGTCCTAGTGTTCTGCAACTTGCCGTGCTGCTCTCCCATATTCACTATGGAGCCACCAGACTGGCAAATGGACAACGATGGGGCACTCCAGCAGATGCTGCAATCCTTCCAGAACCTGGCGCCGCTGTTGGACCCCAGCCTGAAGTTGCAGCCAAATCCAGGAGCTCCCAAGCGCCCAAGAAGAAACCCTGCCGCCACCGAAGCAAACGGCAGAGAACAGCACCCAGGCCACCGACAGGAGACCAATCAAGATCAGCAGAAACTCCTGACCCTGATGGCCAAGCTGCTCTTGCGGATGGATCGCGATCTGCAGGTGATCCAAAGGGAAACGACCTTCATCATCTATTTCAGTTGCAAAGAAGAGGTGGGAGTGCTGCCTTTGCTCCTACAGGCGGCGGACAAATGGCACGATTGTTTCCACGATGGTGCTTGCCAACCCGAACAACTGGTGTTTTTGCAATGCTGCTGCCTACTCCTTGTTTTGGACACTTTTGCTGCTAAGCACATATGAGCCGGCAGTTTGGGGTACACAATGCATCGAGATCATGCAGTTTCTGCTTGATAGTGGACATGCCATCAAATCCCTTGCTACACAGATGTTTTTCCGTGATGTCATGCATTGTTGGGGCCGTGAAGAGATTGGTCAGCTGACCTACTCTGTTTCCCAGCAGGACGCGTCAGAATACGTCCAAACCTGGCTGGGCCTGTTGCAGACTCCAGTGTTTTGTATGGAATGGGAAAAACGTATGAGCGCTGCGGCTGACACTCATGTCATGGACTCCAACCGTGTAGGCACCATGCCACCCTGCTTGAAGTTTGATGACACCGCAGTGCATTCCCCCTGCTGCTCCCTGACAGCCCTTGTGAGCACCTGGCACCAGGTGGATGGCATGCGCACTGCTCTCCTTGCTGCTACACCTTGCCTATGTGTCCACATAGATCGCTGTGTCCTGGGGCCTGATTCCTCAGTCCATAAGTGCACTTGCAAACTGCAGATCGATGAAGAGTGTTATTTTCCTATTTTCCAAGCTGACGGTATTCAGTGTGAATTTCACGGCTACACAGTGGTTGCGGCGATGGCTCACATTGGCTCTGACGGAGCTGGCCACTATCGTGCAGCGCTGAAGATACGTTCCATGGTTCTGGATCAGACACATCCTGTACAATGGTTGGTGACTGACGACTGGCGTCAGCCTTGTGCGGTGTGGAGCCCTGAAACTTGGCTTTTGGAAAACATCACTATGGTATGGCTTGTGAGGACGGACTTGCTGAAGTTGCCGTTTTACCAACCCTCACGAGATTCCAATCATTCATCGGTGGCTGAGCTTTTGCGCTTACTGGCCGAACCACAGACTTGAGGCACAGTTTTGTTTCTCCATTTGTGGCATTTTGCCCATTTTCTTCTCACCGATCCTCAGGGCCAAAAAGATTCCGAGATGGAACCGCCATGTTACAACATGTGGCGTTGGCTGGCATAGACCTTTGCAGCATGAAAAGGCGTGTGCGCAAAAAAACACACACACACACAAGCTCCTTTGCCACCACGAGCGTGGCACCCAAAGCTCTCCACGGAGAAGTAGAGTTCGGATTCGATCAGTGAGACCGCGCGCTCGTTTGCCATTTGCCGTGCCGCCGCTGCTCAGGGATTTCTTTTGCTTATTTTGATTTGGGGCCTGGTTTCTGAACATTCTCACATTTGCTGCATCGCTGGCATATCGTGGAGTTCTCCTCACTCCACCACTGGACAATCAACACGGCCCTCTGGTGGAACGCCGTTTGGATCTGGCTTCTGATACTGGTCAAAGGAGACTTTGACTGCGACATTCTTTTGCAGCTTGGACGGAGGCAGATTGATTTTTCCAGCTTTTTGATTTCTTACCATTGGAACCACCTTTACTGCGGGGTTGGCTCCCGACAACATCACTCTGGCCTGGTGGGTTCCTGGAGCAATCATAATTTTTGGACAGATTTCAAGTTGCGATTTTCAGATCCTCTTGGGGTGGGCTCCCAGACACTGACTGGCCCGATTGACATTTTATTGGACGGCGCGACAAACTACATTGACAGAGGCGCTGACACCTCAATTTCAGGCACGGGGAGCTCCCCACAATTTGAGACCCTGCAGTGGCACAATTTGGATAATTTGGACAATACCAGTTTGGAAGCACCGGACAGCCAACCTCGGATCCTCTCACCACACTGCGGAGTAGGCTCCCGGAACTCTAATACTGGCCTGGTGACGATCCCTGGTTGGTTTGGTTGGCAACATTACAACCATCCTGAAGTTTTCTGGCTTGCAACAACACCTCTTTTTCTGCGGGGTTGGCTCCCGATAACAACACTGACTGGCCTTGAGGTGTCGCTGTTTTTCTTCGACATTGTTTCATACATTTGGTTTGAATTTTTACTCCAACACTCCCTTTTATTTCCAGGTGCAAACGTAGCAAACAACTCAGCACGCAGTGGGGTGGGCTCCCGATTTTACCTTTCTGGCCCAGTGGAGCAGTACAAGCAAGGGGTGGGCGCCCTGACTGAACGTCCCAACACTGGCTTTTCTGCGGACCCGACAATCAGGTACATTGCAGTTCCTGCTGTTTCTCCACAGATTGACCAGCACAGCACGCGACAGTTTGCACTGCATTTCCATCCTGCTTTTGCGGAGACGCTCTCCAGCAGCTGCTTTTGGTGGCTGAGCCGACAAGACTATTCTTCTTGGCTGAACTGGGGGTGGGCTCCCCACAATTGGCTGGCCCTGGATATAATACAATTTCAGAATTTTCCACGGTGGTTTTTCATCTCTCTGGTTTGTACATTTATTTTACATATTGCATTTCAATCATTTTGGCACAGAGCATTTGGCACCATTCACAACAGTTTTTCCGGGAAGCACCCCTGCTGGCTTGTGTGGCCCTTGGGTCCCTTCTCTGGACGCTGGATTTCTGAACCAAGAACAAAGCGCGGACATCAACTTTCAGGTGGTCACACTGGCACGGGTTCGAACGCTCCAACGACGTGGAAGCCCCCTTTTGGTGGCAAGTCTGGTCCCAAGTCCAGACCCAGTACTGCTTTTGGAAGGAGGACAAGAAGTCTCACACTTCTGATTTTTGCACTTATAATGACCAACATCATGCAGCACTGGAGGAGCGAGGGTTGTGGCTCAGCCATGGGAGCCACTGGAGTTCCAACAGACTCCACACCAGTTCTCATCAGGGGAACAAAGCAACATGGCAGGCGGCCCACAATGTGCGACAGCACGTCAATGAGGCTTGAAACAGCTACACAGGAGAGATCAAGGGTTGAAAAACGCAGTTTGAATAGGGCCTACAGGCGCTCACTTCATCAAGGAGTGGCATGGTACAAGGGTAAGCAATATGTTCCAGCAGAGTTTGAGAGGATGGGATGCGCTCACACCTCACCTCCTGACCTCACCAAAGCTCTCTCCACCCACTTGCAACGAGACTGGCAGCGATGCAACCATCATCATGCTGCCAAACGACGTTTGACAGTTTGGCAATGGAACTGTGGCGGCATTTCTGCTGCCAGGCTGGACGAAGTGAAGGCCTGGCTTGTTTTGAACCACGTGACCATCGCAGTCTTGGTGGAGACCAGGTTGACCTACGATGCCTTTTGGACCGATCCACATTGGCATTGCTTGCACACAGGCGAGGGACCACATAGGGGCAAAGGGATCATGATACTTATTTCTACATCTCTCTGCACAGCGGCTGACATCAGCTGGCAGTTCCCTGATAGTGGAAGACTTGCACATGTGCGGTTGACTGGCCCAACGAGACCTATTGATATTGTTGCATGTTACCAACACACCTTTCAGGCCAACACAGCCTGCCACAAGGCTCGCTCACAGTGGTGGACTCAGCTTGAACAAGTATTGACGGGCATCCCAAACAGGCACAATCTGATACTTCTTGGGGATTTTAACTGTTCTGTTGATGCCTCCCCCAACAATACAGGTACCCAGGTGTTTGCATGGCATGGCCAGAACATTACCGGACCTGCTCACCCTGACCAATTTAGATTCTTACAACTCTTGCGTCAGTTTTCTTTGGTGGTGCTCAATTCTTGGTCGGCCACATTAGGTCCAACGTATGTGCATGGACAGAAGGCCAGCAGAATTGACCACATTTGCGTGCGCCAAATGTACGCTGATGGGGAGGCCCGCAATGTCAGCTATTTGTGGCAATCTCCCTTCCTTGAGCAAACAGATGTGGGACATGTACCGATGATGTGCACCATTGCCAAGTACTGGATTCCTGCTTTTGAACGCCACAAGATTCAGACAGTTACCATGCAACAGAGACGCGAGAGTCGACAGGCCTATGTGGATCAAACTCCCACCTGGCAGAGATTCACGCAGCAGACCCAGCATGCTATTACGCAACACCTTGCAACTGCCACACATGATGCCGACAGTGTGATGGACCACATGCACCAGACAGTCATGGAGACCTTTTGCACTCATTTTCCCAAAGGACAACAGCCGCGCTCGACTCCACCTTGGATGACGGCTCTGCCAACCATCCTCAACAAGTGGGAGCATAGGCGACGCATGCAGAGGCCTGGTTTTTCCACCACCAAAAATATCTTCAATAGATGGTATCATGCAATACAGTTTGCAAGATTGAAACGTTTTCACAGGAAACTGGCCAAACAGATCAGACAAAACCAGTTTAATGAAATTGTGCAAGAAGCGGCAACTGCTGCCAATCGACATGACACACACACAGACTGTTTTCTCTGATTAACCGTTTTGCCCCCAAACAACCCAGAAAAACAATACAGTTGCGTAATCATGCAGGGCAAATGGCCAACCCAGTTGAAAGTGCGGCGATTCTGACCCAACATGTCAGAGAAGTTTGGGATGGACCTTCCCACATGGACATCAGTTTTTCACATGCTCCAGGTGTGCCTTTTACTGTGAAGCAATCAGGGCCACCGCCAGACCATATGCCCCTGGCATTGTCTGGCGACAAATTGCACCATTTCTTGCACCATTGCTGTATTCCCAACTTGAGGTTTGGTGGGCTACCACCCCCCCCAGATACCGTCGTGTTGGCGTAATGGATGGCTATTTTTCATTCCTAAACCCTCCAAGCCCCCAGTTTCACCGGCCAACTTGCGGCCATTGGCCTTGCAAGAACCGCTTGGTAAGGCGGTGATAGGGCTTTTGATTCATTTAGCCATGACTGAAGCATATGAGCATATGGTGCAATTTCCTATTTTTGCATATATGACTGGCAGATCCACCATGGATGCAATTCGAAGGGTATGCATGCACTGTGCTGATGTGAGGAACCTTCTCCTCCAGCAAAGGGCAACGCCACATTCCAGAGCCGCTGGAATTCCTAGGCATAAACTGTTTGGGGGGTTACAAATTTGCCTAGATCTCAAACGCGCCTTTGATAATGTGAATCGACGTAAATTATTTGCTCGTTTGCACAGCCTTGGCATCAGCACAGCACTTGTCCAATTGCTCACAACCTGGCATGAAGCGTCATCATACGTGCTGCAATTAGGGGAAACAGAAATGGCACTCCCGATTGGACGTGGAGTGAGACAAGGATGTAAGGCCTCTCCTGGCCTCTGGAACTGTTTTCTTGTTCTTTTCATGCATGACTTACTCCAATTTCTTCCCTTTCCTGGCTGCAGACTCACTTGACCATGTATGCAGACGATTGCCATGTAGGAGCCACGTTTGTCAGCTTGGCAGAATTCACTGATTTTCACAAGGCATTGGGAATTCTTTTCTCCACGCTGCAATCGATGGATATGGAAATTAATCCCCAGAAGTCTGTGGCAATTTTGGAAATGAAAGGTTCTGCCAGCCGTGCGACACGTAGACGTTTCATCAGCAAAGACCGACATGGTGAACACTTGAAAATCATGGTGCCAGGGCGTCCTGACGTCTGCATCCCAATTCAGAAGAACACCAAATATTTGGGCGTGATCATCTCATATCAACAGTTTGAAGATGCCAGCCTACAACACAGGATGAGTCTTATGCATGTTGGCTTCAGAAGATTGCAGCGGTGGCTCACTGGAAAGCATGGTTTGACTACCTCACAAAGATTTATGCTTTGGAGAACTTGCATTTATCCAATTTTCAGTTACGGGATCTTTGCAACAGGCTTGGCCAAGCAAGGCATCAGCAAGGCAAACACCCAACTGACCATTATGATGCGCAAGTTGACCCATGACCATTCCTTTTTGACCAGACGCACCAACCATGAAGCTTTATTTTTGCACCAACTTCCTACCCCGGCGCAATTGCTTTTTGGCACTGCAGCGGGATTGCTGAGGACGCATCAAGATCAACATGCACAACTTTTGACACATGATGTGACACATTCAATTCATTGGCATCATTTACCTGACCTCATGACCCAACTTCAACATTTGCAGGCCACTGCTACTTTGGAGACATCCTTGCCTCTGAACTTGGAGGCAGGCACCTCCTTCTTTCAGTGCGCCAAGTGTGATTTCTGCACCATGGATGTCAGTGCCTTCAGACGCCATTGTACGACTGCCCATGGACATGCCATGTACCGCACACACCATGTGGATCCAGCTGCCCATGCTGATAATGGATTGCCCACATGCAAACATTGCTCCAAAGCCTTCACCACATGGCGGGGTTTCAGAACACACATAGAACGTGGATGCCAGGCCTTGCTGCTTGGACCTGCACCTTACGGAGCTGACACAGATCCACTGAGAGCACATCTAGGCACCTTACGACCAATGAACTCACAGGCTGCTGACGCAGCTGCGCGTGGCCTGAGACTGATCACTGCAGATGAATTGCACAATCTCAAGCAGCAGGACTTTGGCCCCAGACTGCTACACCTGATTGCGGAAAGGAATTGGGAACAACTGGCAACTGACCAGGCGGCTTGCCGATATCTTTCCAGCCGCTGCGTGATCTGTTCATTTCAGTTCTCAAGATGCCAGGAACTTCATCAACACTTTCGGCTGCAGCACCCAGAACTATGGGAGCACGCTCCCCAGAAGGCGATTCAGCTCACGAACATTTACAGTGATGAGCCACCATGTGGATGTTGCGGTGCGTTGTTTCGCACACATTCCTGTCCCACCTGGTCACAGATTGCTGTCTTGCTGGTGAATGGAGCGGGACTGGACGCAGTGGACCTAACACCATTGACTGAGGAACGACACCGTTGTGAACTCTGTCTTATCTGGTTTTGCACTACAGCTGCATTGGTCCAACACCTTCAGGCTTCACATGGACTGCAGGGGCTGAGTTTTGTTGAAAGTCGTGACGCTCTTGACAACACCACAGCATGCGCACATTGTGGACTTTTGTTTCAGTCGATGTCTGGCTTGAAGTCCCACATAGTGCAGGGCAGATGTGAGCACTTCAATCCCAACGCTTCAGCAGAGACGATGGAGATCGATGAGCTTTGGCGCCAGGCATGTTTGGAGGGCAAATTGATGGAGGTCCTTGCACCACCACACAACAGAATGAGACTGACCATCGTATGCCAGGCTTGTGGCAAGGGTTGCAAGAGGGCAGCAGACCTTTCACTCCATCTCCAAACCTCACACGCCAGGCTCTGGCGCCAATCAGAAAGACTTACGATGATTTTGGTTGATGCCCTGTATCAACAACGTTGCTATTGCAACCCACAGGTTGGCACCAAACGTGGCTCACATGTATGCCTGCCCTTCAGGCAGATTGCCATGAGCTACCACCGCATGGGAACAGAGATCTTTGCACCTACGGTGATCACAGACAACACGCTGAAGGACGTGCTTTCTGACAAGCTCCCCAGAGAAATCAAATACAGACTTGAACAGGCGTTGGTGCACAGAAGCTTTGCAAATGTTTGGCAGGACCCTGCTATCCTACAGATGCTACGAGGCCAATGCATCTTCTGCGGTGACTTCCTTGCCACCTCAGATTTGGCGCTCCACCTGCGCGAGGAGCACAACTGCAGACATGAGATGTTTTTATTCTACATGGAACAGTTTTTGCCTGTGATGCATGCCCTGTCACCTGAGGGATACCAATGCCCTTTGTGCCTTTTGATTTTCAACTTGCCAGCTGAATTGCGACCAGATGAAACCCTCGCTGACAGAGTGGTTTTGGCTCTTTCCCATCTCAGAGGATCGTGCCCCTGCTTGATCCAGGTAGCACTTCTGTTTGGATCTTTGCTGAACGGTGGCAGCTTGCACCATGGAACCATTAGAGCTCACAGCCTCAGCACAGATGGTCGAGGCGTTCCAGCATCTGGCTCCCCTGTTCCAGGTGAAGGACAAGGACCTGACGCTGCAAGCCAATCCACGGAAAGCCAAGTCCAGACGCAAAGAAGAGCCAAACAGCCAAGACTCGAAAGAGGACGTGGACATGCCAAACGTCAGCACAGCACCGACAATGCAGCTGCTTCGCACGCTGACACAACTGGTGGTGCGTCACGATCAAGAGTTGCAGGATTTGAGAAAGATGGATCAATTCATTCTTTTTTTGAATCCAGAACCAACAGGTGCGCTTCACATCCTGCTTCAGGAGTCAGCCCAATGGAAGAAATCCATGGAGGAGGGGTCTACATCATTGAAGATGCCACTCCGGCAACACCTCATGAAGGCGCTGCTGAACGCCATGATGACCCGAGCAGGCCAGATTGTGGAGAGCAAGGACACGGAGGGCCTCTTCACGACATCACTGCAGAAGGGAGTGATCCTGGCAGATCGCAGCTTCCCTTTTCATCGATGGGACCCAGCCTCCAAACAGCTGACCATAGACAAGAAGCAGCCAGTCAGTGCAGCCAAGATGAAGCAGCACTTGGAGGAACTATTGGAGATGCTGACCGACCCAGCCATGGTGATCAGATTTCATGCACTGAGCCAGAGCAAAGACCAGAACTCCAAGGCGGTGCCCTGGAGACTCCAGATCAATATGAGAACCAACAGACCCTACGAACTCCTCCATCACCTTACCCACAATGCCATATGGATGACAGTGGGGGCCTCGATGAAACAGCACAATCAGCAGCAGACCCCCCTTGCCACGGCCCTGCAGACCATGATGGGCCAACCGAAACCCAAGGGCCGGGGCAAGGGGCTGAAGGGGCTGAAGGGCACACCAGCCAAACAAGAGAGCTGAGTCCTGCGCTCATGGCAGACATGACCAAGAATCTGAGCATCATGTGCATGGCCAATGACAGGAACTGGTGCTACGGCAACAGCACTGCCTACTCATTCCTGTGGACACTCTTGTGCCTCAATTGCCATGAGACTTCTCTTTGGGGTTGGCAATCTTCTGCGCTGATTGATTTCATCCAGCATCATTCGACGCCTGTAGTGCTGAAGAATATCGATTGGTTTAAGCAGATTTTGCTTGATTGGGGCATTTCCCAAACTCAGCAGGACAGTGCAGAATGTGCGCAGCACCTGCTGAATTGGCTTCAACCGCAAGCTTTTGACATGCGTTGGGAAAGAAGATTGGACACGGAGCATGGCTTACATGTGTTTGACCATAGCACCTCACATACTCCAATTTTGCTGCCATTTGCACGAGAACATCATGTTTGCGGCACTTGCAAGTTGACAGATTTGATCGTGACCTGGATGCAGGAGCAATCCATGTGCACAGCGCTCGTGACTGCGCCCCCCTGCATCTGCCTGACCATTGATCGATTTCATCAAACAGGCTGTGGCACCATTGAACGCAATGTCAGTGCCATTGATTTGGAGGCAGAGGTTGAGATTCCTGTCTTTACAACTGGATTGGAATGCGACATGCTAGGATACATTGTGGTAGCTGCCATTGCACATTTAGGCCAAGACAGATCAGGGCACTGCCGAGCTCTGTTGAAGATCCAACCAGGGGTCACCACTGCAGCTCAGCCGATTGCCTGGCTGTTGACAGACGATGAACAAAAGCCGGCCCCTGTCTGGCAGATTCCAGCATGGTTCCAGACACATGCGACAGTGGTTTGGGCCGTCAGAACTGACTGCCTTAGGCTGCCCTTGTATCAACCAGAGAATGGCACTTCCTCTGAGCCCAGCAACACCAATGATGCATCACATGTGGATCCTGTGACGGCACCTGAGACAGCCCTGATTCATTTGCTCCAAGCCCAACCGGGTGTTGGCACAGAAGAGTGAAGGACTTTGCAAAACCAATCAGCTCAAGGATGGACCAGAAGTTTTATTTTTCCCATCATTTTAACTTTTCACCCTTTCTCCAGCGTTTCATGCGGCCTCAAAGCTTCCATTGACGGAACCAACGAAACAGTTGAGAGGCTGGCACTAACCTTTAAGGCAGTTGCAAAAAGGTGTGTAGGAAAAAACACACACACACACAGGTCACGCATCACACATCGTGGATCAGAAGCGCACGCACACATCACACATCTCGCATCGCACATCACACGCGCACAATGCACACACACACATGCATCACACGCCATGCGTCACAAATCACGCACACATTACATCACACTGAACATGTTATTTACACAGATTGCACACATCACGCAAATCACGCACATTACACATATCACACATCACACACATGGCACACACAGACATCACACACATGGCACACACACACACAGACATCACACACACACATACATCGCATACACAACACGCACGTAGACTCATCATGCACATCACGCACATCACGCACATCACACTTTCGTGCACACCATGCACATCATGCACATCATGCACATCATGCACATCATGCACATCACGCACATCATGCACATCATGCGCATCACCAATCACTCATATACATCACGCGCCACAAATCACATATCTCACATCACACATGACACACACACACACATCACACGCATCACGCACATTATACACACATACACATGACACACACACACACACATCACACACATGACACGCTCACACACATCACACGTGACAATTACACTGACATCAAACACAAACAAACAAACAGACAGACAGACAGACAGACAGACAGACAAACAAACAAACAAACAAACAAACACACAAACAAACAAACAAAGAAACAAACAAAGAAACAAACAAAGAAACAAACAAAGAAACAAACAAAGCAACAAACAAAGAAAGAAAGAAAGAAAGAAACAAACAAACAAAAACAAACAAACAAATCACACACGGATCACACACGGATCACACACACACACATCACACACATCACACACACACACATCACACACACACATCACACACATCACACACACACACATCACACACACATCAAACACACATCACACACACATCACACACATCACACACACAGACACACATACACACCACACACACACATCACACACACACACATCACACACACACACACACATCACACACACACACATACCACAACATATCACACACATCACACACACATCACACACACACACATCACACCACACACACATAAGCACGGATCACACACGGATCACACACACGGATCACACACGGATCACACACGGATCACACACGGATCACACACGGATCACACACGGATCACACACGGATCACACACACACACACATCACACACACATCACACACATCACACACATCACACACATCACACACACAGACACACAGACACACAGACACACAGACACACAGACACACAGACACACAGACACACAGACACACAGACACACAGACACAAACACACACACACATATCACACACACACACACACATCGCACACACACACATCACGCACACATCACGCACACATCACACACACACACATCACACACATCACACACATCACACGCATCGCGCACATCGCACGCATCGCGCGCATCACACACATCACACGCATCTCACGCATCTCACGCATCTCACGCATCACACACACACACACATCACACACATCACACACATCACACACATCACACACACATCACACGCATCACACGCATCACACGCATCACGCGCATCACACGCATCACACGCATCACACGCATCACACGCATCACACACATCACACGCACATCACACACACACGCATCACACGCATCACACGCATCACACGCATCACACACGCATCACACACGCATCACACACGCATCACACACGCATCAAACACGCATCAAACACGAATCACACACGCATCACACACGCATCACACAGGAATCACACGCGCATCACACGCGCATCACACGCGCATCACACGCGCATCACACGCGCATCACACACGCATCACACGCGCATCACACGCGCATCACACGCGCATCACACGGGCATCACACGCGCATCACACGCGCATCACACGCGCATCACACACGGATCTCACACGGATCTCACACGGATCTCACACGCATCTCAAACGCATCTCACACGCATCACGCGCATCACACACGCATCACACACGCATCACACACGCATCACACACGCATCACACACGCATCACACACGCATCACACACGCATCACACGCGCATCACACAGGCATCACACACGAATCACACGCGCATCACACGCGCATCACACGCGCATCACACGCGCATCACACGCGCATCACACGTGCATCACACGCGCATCACACGCGCATCTCACACGGATCTCACACGGATCTCACACGGATCTCACACGCATCTCACACGCATCACACACGCATCACACACACACATCACACACATCACACACATCACACACATCACACACATCACACACATCACACACATCACACACATCACACGCACATCACACACATCACACATGACACGCATCACACACATTGCAGCATTGCACGCATCATGCGCCAGACACATCACACATCACACATCACAGAGCACGCATCGCACATTACACACTGAACTGCGCACCCGTCACTCTTCACACATCACACACACATACATCACACATAAGACTTCCACACATCACACGCAGACATACATTACACATCACATTTCGCATGTACATCGCGCATCACAGGCTCATTGCAAGTCGCAGGTTCGTTACACATCACACATCGCACATCACACATCACACACACACACACATGTCACACACATGTCACACACATGTCACACACACACACACGCATCACATACACACACACAGACATCACACACATCACACAGATCCACACATCGCACTTCACACATCACGCATCCAACAGCACACATCCACACATGCACACACCCAAACTCCCAAACACACACGCATCACACCTCACACATCACACACACACACACATCGCACATACACGCACATTTAGGGACTTTCGCGCACATACGCCCACATACACGCACATACACGCACATACACGCGCATACGCGCACATACACGCACAAACATGCACATCACACATGACACCGCACACCTCACACGCACAAATATTACACATCACACTTCCCACATCCCACATGCCACATCATGCATCACACATCACACATCACAGGCACACGAGAATATCACACATACCGCATCCCTCCTCCCACATCACGCAAACCAGACACGTCAGACCCATCGCACGAAGCACATAAATCACACATCACACATCACACATCATACATCACACATCACACACACATGAGACACGTGAGACACATGAGACACATGGCGCAAACACACACACACATGACACACACACACACATCACACACATCACACGCATCACACACACACACATCACACACATCACACACACATACACACCACACACCACAAAAATCACACATCCCACACCTGCACAACCGCACAGCCACACATCCACGCATCACACACACACACACACTGCACATCACACATTATTCATACTTATTCATCACACATCGCACACACCACACATCACACATCACCCATCACACATCACACATTGCCATTCACACATCGCGCATCACACGTCACACACTTGCAGACATCACACACGTCACACACATCACACATCGCACATTGCACATATCACGCGCACTCATACATCACACATCACGCACACATTACATCACACGGCGCACATTACAGTACACACAGTGCACACATCACGCAAATCATGCACATTACGCATATCACAGATCACACACACACACATGACACACATACATCACACGGCACACGCACATCACACACACACACATCACGCACATCACGCGCATCACGCACATCACGCACATCACGCACATCACGCACACATCACGCGCTACACATCACGCGCTACGCATCACATCGTCTCACATAGCGCACATAGCCGCACATTGCCGCACATAGCCGCATATCCACACACCACACACCCACACATCGCCGCATCAGCATATCAGCACATCCACACATCACGCATCCACACACGCACACATGCACACACACACACACACCCACACACCCACACAGACATCACACATCATACATCAAACATTCAACAGTGCACATCGCACATCCGCACATCCAGACACATCCAGACACATCCAGACACATCCAAACCCATCTACTAGACATATCACACATATCACACATATCACTCATATCACACATATCACACATATGACAAATTTCACTGCACACATCATGACACTTCACCCATCGCCCATCACACATCACCAATCACACATGAGACACACACACATATGAGACAGACACACACACAGCACACATCACAAATACATCGCACACATCACGCGCATCAGACATATCACACATTACACGCACACACCACGCGCACTCATACATCACACATCACACATCGCACAAAGGACAACACACATACATCACACGTCACACATCACCCGGCACAGATCCACACATCCACACACCCACACAGCCACACGTCCTCAGTTCCGTACACCCGCAAAGTCTAGACATCCACACGCCCACACATCATCAGCTCCGTACACCCAGGCATCCACACGTCCACGCATCTCCCGCGTCACACACATCAGACCCATCACACAGCGCACATCAAACAGCGCACGTCACACGTCCACACTTCACACAACACGCAGCCACACGTCACACATCGACACATCCACACACTTTCACGCACATGCACACACATCCACAGACATCCGCACACACACACACACACATTCGCACACACGTCCACACACGCACACACACACACATCCACACACGTCAACATACATCAGCGCACATCCACACATCCAAACAGCACCCATAACCCATTACCCATCAGACACCACAC